CCTATTAATATATTTTATATTTTAGGTCGGTAATAGATGTAAATGATTAATATTTATATCAAATATTAATTGATTTCGTGTATTTTGAAAGCTCACCTCAGTATTATTAAAGTTAGTTGATTCAACTCGAGATGATTTTCTTTTAAATAGATTTGACTTTTCAAATATCTTTTCATCTTGAAAAATAACTATATCATCATCACTAATGGTATTTGTATCTCTTCTTGTTCATTTTCTACAAAGGGGTGGTGATACTGAATATGTTGTGTCAAACCCTGTTGTTTTGTAAAGGTTTGGCTACATCCTTCATAGGGACAACACAAACTCATTTTATATAATTAATAATTTTTGTATTTTTTTAAAAAAATGTTTTTCATCATAAAATAAATAGAAAATTGTTATCAAATACTTTTATAACTGATTCATCAACTTGTGATCCAATTTTTATTACTTTATAATTATAAGATTTTAAATATATCAGATTTACTATTGGTGATCATTCATAATCCATATGCATCAACTAACTCCAGAATAACTATTATATGCCATCGATCAACTCCGGAATCACTATTACATAATCGCCTTTTTAATATGATTTATTAAGCTATTTTATTAATTCCTTTTTTTATACGAACTATTTTCCCATGCGAACCACTCTTTTCCTACGCGAACACTTCTTTCTCGTAAATCATAAGTTTTATAACAAAATATAATTTCTTCAGATTTATTAGAGTTTTGTAATTTTAGGGTTAAAATGATGCTAATGTAATATCTTTATATAGTTAATAAAATAATAGAAAGAAGTTTAAGAGCAAAAAAAATTATAGGAAAAAAAGGTATTATATTAATTTTATTGTTTTACTTATTCAAATTATTAATTATATATTAAATATATTTTATTTTAACTAGCTAAATTCCCAAATTTAGTAAAGACGCGGTCTTCATCTAAAATTTCTCCAACGAATCCATCACCACAACTACCTATTACTACAACCAAATCTATACTTAGAGAGTCTAACAAAAGTATATGTTATTCTTTGTATCTTATTTTTCTTATTACTTACAAAATTGTTTCGATGTCGTTTACAGGTTTTTCTAAAAGATCGCAATCAACCGGTTCCAATCAAATACGTCAAAATCGTAAAATGAAAAGTCCAGAAATCAATCTAAATGAATATCAAAATGAACGGGATGACAGAAATCTCGATAAAGAAAGAGATGATAATGATTGTTCTCTGGAACCATATTATCAACCTCAACCTATAAATGAAAATGATGATTTTAACAATTCTAAAGACATTGAAACAGAATATGATGAATAAGATCACTTATCTTCTAATTTGAAAACTTCAAAAAATGCGAACATGATATGGATGATATTGTACCAACGCAAACAAACAAGAAAATTGTAGTTGGTACATTATACTATTTTTAAAATCTAACCTATATGCATTCCAAGGATTTTAATTTTCTAATTTTATTTTTTATTTTATTTCTCAATTTAGGAAATCGTAATGAATGTTATATAGTTCTTGTGGAATTTTTAGAAAAATTAAACAGACAAAACAAAGTTATTTGGAAGAATCAACTGAAACAAGATAAAAAGCTTGACGAAATTATGAAGATTTTATCAAAACTACAACGCGAATATGGCTTGTCATCCGCTTTTTGATGTAAACAATAAATAAAGATTTTTAATTTGCTGATTGACAAAGAAAAAATCATATGAATTTTTCTTTAACAGGTGTAATACTACGCCTTATGATAATTCTTTTTAAATTTTAACTTTATTTCATTTTGTAAAACTTTTAATTTAATAGAAAGGTATTGTTACGATTACTAAGGATATACAAAAGATAACTTTACACCCTACTGTAGAGCTATTTAAAGAACATCTTGAAAGTTACATTGAAAAGCATTCTAAGGGATATATTAAAGATATTGGAAAACATCATTGGGATTCTCGTTTTTATTCAAAATTTATGACTATTGTAAATATTGTTTCATGATATCATTTATTATATTTATTCTTACAAACTTTTATTATCTATTATATTTTTTACTTGGGTTTCATATTAGTGTCTTGAAAAAATACGTCATTGTCGAAGTGCTATTGCCAAAGATATATGACTGGCACTTTTCAAGGTATTTCCTGAAGTTCCTGAAATAAAAGCAAATGCAGGTATAAAAATTATTGAATGGAAGAGAAACCTATGGATTGCTAAAGCATATACCAGTTTGTGGAAAGTAGATAACACTGGACTTCTAACGATCAATACAATTATCATGAAAGCTATGTCTAGAGAAGATAAAGAAGTCTATTTGAAGTCTTCGATAATTGCATTTACACTTGCAAATTGTAGTATTTTCTTAAATCCATGCAGCAAAGATATTTGATGTACTGAAGAAGCTATAAGAAAATGATGTTCAATTTTCTTGGTAAGAATTAAATTTTGTATTAATATTTGGTGGTCTCTAATCAAGTTCTATTTATTATTTTATTAATAGGAACGATTAAAATCACAACAAATTCCAACTGAAGATGACGATTTAAAAGATGATGATAGATCAAATGATTATAATGGTACTGTCAAAGAGGAGATTTCAGAAGAAAACCATTACGAATCTGAGAATGCTATGTTATTTGAATGAACACAATACATATATAACTAAAGAATTTTATTTGTAAGAACTTTTTAATTTTTTAAAATAAATTATTTATTTATTTTTTTTTTCTAATTGATATTACTATTACTAATAGATTTACAAGCAAAATAATCGCAATTATTATCATGACAAATTTCGCAAAGATTTTTATTTTATAAAAACATTGAATTTTTATGTAAACAAATAAATACGCTATTTCAAATTATCAAAAAAATATCATCATTATTAAGAATCGGAAGATTCTACAAATGCTTATTTATGTAAAAT